AGTTACCCCCTCCCCTCCCAGGCATGTGTATAGATGCCCTAAGATTCTCCTGGCTGTTGTCAGCTTTCTAATGAGTCTGGGTTTTGATCCTAGCAGAACCCATCTCTGGCAACATCCCAAACCAGGGGAATTTAAATGCTGAGTGTCTATATAGCTGCTGAACTGCTGGTTTGAAATATGGCTGGGATCTCAAGGCTCATCCATTCTAACTCCTGGTTGGGAACAGAAAGTGCTGTTCTAGAGCCATCCCGGACTCTTTTTGAAAACCTCCAGTGAAGGAGATTATTCAGGCAGCCATTCCACTGCCATTCTGTTCTTAAGTTCCATAATAACACTGTCTAAAGACGTCTTTATTATGGCCCTGTCCAGTTAGAGTAGATTGGATTAGTGATCCAGAAATGATTTTGGGGATGGAAATGCGAGTTGTTTAACTTTCATTCTTGACCCCAGCAAGGGCTTAGCTGGAAGACATTCTGGCTGGGAAGAGAGAGTTTTGCTCTCTTGGACAGATTTGGTGATTGTGGGGATGGGGAAAGGTAAATCTTATGCAATTTCTATGGAAGGTTGCAGCTGTCTGAGAAAGCTGTGCCATGGGGAGTGAACCATGGGATGAAGCCAGCTGGCAGTTGCCCAAGACTGGATTATGTAGGGATTATAAAATAATAAATTGTTTATGCAGATTTTTCTCTATATTGTATTCTGCTTTCAGAGTTTTTTGTAAAAACTAGGTCCCTGTGTCTTCATGTCTGATAAGATGGATTTAACATGGATTGTCAGGGTATTTTAACTTTCCTCTGTGACTTACTGTAGTTCCATGGTGTGTAATTCCTTGACCTTAATGGCAGAATTGAGTCTATTCTTTCATACACAATAAGCTTGGATCTAGGTGGTAGTATTTTCTTTGCCACAGGTTTAGTCTTTATGGCCCATGTTTGGGAGAGGAGATAATCAGTATATATTACCTATTATGAGTGTTGATTGTAGTGTCTTCATATCATGTAGCTCCTATTGAACTTTTTATTTTAGTTCTGGTATTATACTGCTGGGGCCTGAGCACCACTGCATATACAAATGTGTGCTAAGCATGATATAAATCATTTCAGTGTGGCAGTGGGGTCAATCTTTTTGGCATCCTGCCACAAATTAGCCCTGCACCCTCTCCAAGCACCACTGCCACCCCCTTTCTCTTCCTAATCAGCTGCTCTGATTTCTATTCACTGTCCTGTGTCCCTACCCCATCTGCTGCTGTTTTTTGTTCCCTGACTTATCTGTTACTATGTTGCCTGTCCACTTGCCATCTGTCACATGCCACACAGACTGCCTGTGCCACTTGTGACACACAAGCCACAGGTTGACTGTCCCTGATAAATTTAAAAAAATGGGGGAATTGTGTGGCTTTAATGGCTAAACAATGGTACAGTTGCTTCAGAAGGATAAGCTTTTTTCAGGATTGATGCTAGAATGATGTTGAATGTCTTGCATTTGAAAGCTTGCTAATTTTCTCTCAATAAAATATATCAATATCTTGAATAAAATAAACTAATACGATATGAGTAAAAGATTTCGCCCACAAAAGTCTTTGTGTTGCAAATTTTTTTGGAGCACTTGTCTTTCTCAGAGCAGTGTTCCTTTGTGTGAAGGTCCTTTGTACAGGGATATGCCTGAAAAGTAAATCATTTTTAGAAAAAAAAAACAGGTTTGCTGCTGTTTAAGATATTTGCATCTTAAAAGCTCTCTCTCTTCCAATCCAGCTTTCTTCTTAATGTTGCACATGTAAAGGTATGGAAAGCAGTGAGCTCCTGTGGAAAAATGCATTTGATTACATTAGTTCTGATGTTGGTTTTCTGCTCTCTTTACTTCAGTATCCAAGGCAGACTGCTATGTGGAACTGAAACTACCAGCTGCATCTCCAGTCACTTCTCAAACTCAGGTTGTTGACAACTCTAGTGATCCAGAGTGGAATGAAACCTTCCAATACAGAATCCACAGTGCTGTCAAGGTAAGAAGAGCCATTTGATATGGAGCAAGCTAGATTACTTGGTGCTATGAAAGACTTTTATTACCAGAAAAAGGAGGCCATTGCATGTAATGTCTCACGTGAATCAGTAGGCACCCTTGACTCTCAGTACCTATTTTATTCCACATCACCAGCTAGAGCCACCTCAAGAGATGATTCATCAAGGCTCAAAATTTTGAAAAGCACAGCTAAGAAGGTATGTTCCTCACCCACCAACCTGATGTAATTTAGGGAAAAGAGCAAGCTAGGATGCTGCTTGATTCTGACACAATCGTTTCAGGAAATTCCTTAACAAACTCAGGTTAATTTTTGTGGGATATACACTCTCACCCTAGGGCTATTGTAGTCTCATGGCTGTACTTGCCCAAACATCCCAGTGATTCAGGTATTATAACAGGTCAAGCGAGAATGCTACGCCAGAACATATCCTGAGTTCAGGCTAGTTTTCTTGAAACTGATATTCTTCACAACTTTTAATAGGCAACTGGACTTTGTCTTTTAACTTCTTTTACCTGCTGTTTAGCAACTAAGCACTTTTCAATTAGCATCCTCTGGGCTTGCCTCTGTCCTGTGGCAGTGATGATCAGGAAATGATTGGTTGCTCTACCTGTTTAGTCATTCTGGATTACTGAGACGGGGAGGAAGATGCTGTTCCTTTCTCAGGAAAACCAGCACTGAGCTAACTTGTTTGAAATGCCTTCTGCTAAGTCATGTGAGCGATGCATAGAAATCATTGCTAATCCCTTTAGGGCAGAGGGCCAGGAGCAGAAATCCTTCTCCCTGACACGCACATTTCTGGCTGACCACAGCTAACTACAAATAGGAGTAGGTAAAATTGTTGGGAAGGACTTATATTTTTTCAGGGAATTTGACCATCTTTTAAAAGGAGTGTTATAAACTGTAGATAGTAAAACAAATACCAGTAAAGAGGAATCAGTACTGCTTTGATCCATGAATGTGCTTCTTAGATATAAGGTGTATTAATTACTACTTGTTTAGATATATTTGTGCCTTCCTTGCTTGCTGTTTCTCTGTTCATCCCTTGCGTTATGTTTTGTTTTAGAACATCCTGGAGTTGACCCTTTTTGACAAAGATGTTCTGATCAGTGATGAGCTTACTTCTGTTGTCTTTGATGTGGGAGGTTTAAAGCCAGGCCAGCCTTTAAAGCGCGTTTTCAAGCTGAACCCAGAGGTTAGTCCCACTCACCCTGTGACCAGTTACTTTCCAAATCTGTTCAGCATAGCTATGCTGAAGTTTACACTAGATAGAAACCTTTTCCCCCTTGAAAAATCATAGAGTACTTTTGATCAATGGTCCTAAAATGGCAGGGCATTGTTCCTGTTCTTTGGAACACTGAAATTGGACCCATCAGGGTAGCTGTCAAACCAAGGGGCCACTTCTGTTTAGCCCTCTCCCCTGTGTTTGTGTGGGAGGTATCACAGTGAGGATGTAGAATCCATTCAGCTTGATTTATATTCTCAGCAGGCTAGCACTTTCAAGGGTATCATAAGTTGCATGTATCCAGTAATAAAATGATACATAGACGTGTGGGGCACTGGGTGCTGTTTAAGGAAAGGATATTAGAATGGAGGTAGGGCTTCCAGTGCTGTTGAGTCAGAATCTACATGAAGATGGTCCAGAGAAGGGCCACCCGCATGGTCTGGGGACAGCAGGACAGACCCTACAATGAGAGACTGCGGGACCTGAACCTGTTCAGCCTTCACAAGAGAAGGCTGATGGGGGACCTAGTAACCATCTATAAATTCACTAGGGGGGACCAGAAGGGTTTGGGAGGGACCTTGTTTCCCCTAGCGCCCCCTGGCATAACAAGGAATAACGGCCATAAGTTGTTGGAGAGAAGGTTTAGATTAGACATCAGTAAGAACTAGTTCACAGTCAGGGTGGCTAGGAGCTGATACCAACTTGATGCCTACCTAGCTGGGATCATTTGAGTCCAGTTTTTTCTCCTGCCCAGGCAGGGGGTTGGACTTGAAAATCTACAAGATCCCTTCTGACCCTACTTTTATGATTCTATGATTTGTTTTCTGACTTACAGTTCATAGTCCATTATCTAAGTGCTCTCTGGGTGCTCTGCTATAAAAGGAAAATGGGTCCAAGTCTACAGGTTATGAAAGGCATTAATGAGTTCAGAGTACGACCTGCTGAAGAAATAAATCTAAACAAATGCAGGTTTCAGGTAGAAGCTGTAATCAAATCATTATCACTTAGTTATCGAGGCTCAAAAGGGTTTGGGTTAACAGCAGATTGACACATCTCTGAGAAGAATGCTCCTTGTTCACTTCTGTGCACTTTCACTACTAAGAACTTTCAAGTTTAAAGCACTGTTTGATCCCGAACTGTAATGAAACAATGTTAGTGTCACCTGCAGACCCCCCCACCCTTACTGTCAGACCCTGCTCTCTGTGAGCACATGGAAGTGAGGGGCAAATTTGAAAACACTCACAGAATACTACAGGTATCCACAGATTTAGTTCATCCACAATGGATGCATTTTACCTTTTTTGAAACCGCTGCATGTTGTAGCACAGGTACTCCATAAACACTTCTAAGCAGCACTTTTGTACCGCTATATATTGCAAGCTATCCATGGTATTAGTGCAAATCCAAAAGGCTCATGATTTTACCATATACAGGCGATTTCGCCATTTGCGGGGGATACGAGAACATATCCCCTGTGAATGGCAAAATCCGTGAATAAGGCACAGTGTTCATGAACGCAGACTGCATTCATGAACACAGTGCCCCTGGTGGCTGGCGGGGGGCATGGCTCTGGCAGTGGTGGGAGCACAATGGCAGTAAGCCCGGAGCTCCTGAGGAGCTCCTGTAAGTATATTTAAAATGTGGGTTTGGCATTTGTGAATTTCGAGGCTAGATCCCAAAGCAATTTTCCCACCTGCCCAGGGCAGTCTGCTCTGTCTCACCTGCCATGACTTGGGCCATGAAAATTATAGTTATGCTGGCTACATTTAATCAACTTCATGGTTGGCTTCCATTATTGAGCATATACTGCTTTTGGCAGCAGTTTAATGATAGGTAGTGTATTTAATGAGGTTTCCTTGTATGCAAATGTAAAATGAAGGTCTTTTTGCTCCATGCTGATGGGGGACAGATGGACTGACTTGTCTTTTATTTGAGTAAATACAGTATCGCTGGAAAAATAAGGTAATCTGTGTCACCCTGCTTCTACCTTATTCTTATCCCTCCATTATTATACAGCAGCATTGCATACTGATCTGAAAATTTACAAGCCCAGGCACAATATATACTTGCCTTCCTTTTACCATGATGATTAATAATACGAACAAATGAAGCAGAGGAAAAGGTGGGGGCCAGAATGAATAGGCAGTAGGGCAGATGTGGATGGAAAATTGATGGGAACTTGGCACACAGGGGTTAAAAACTTCTGTAGAAAAGGCCAAAATCATGTCAGTCGAATGTGAGATAATGGGGAACACTTCCTATCATTTTCCTGCACACACGCAAGGAAAGTGGGGAAGGGAGGAGAAAAATGCTTCATAAACTTTTAAAAAACTCATGATATGGGGGCCAGTCTTATGATGCTAAGGCTCTAATGCATGGTTTTTAAACAAAATTGGCAGTACTTGTGCAATCACTGCTGTATTAGTTAAAAATGCTAATGCAAAACAAGTAGAAATTGCCTGCCAGGAAAGTAAGCAGATGTGACTTGACATAAAGATACTAGGCTAGCCAAGTAATCCACTATTTTTCCTTAGTCACACTTAAGATAATTATACTTTAGAATCTTGAGAATACATAATCTAATGTGCAGATATCCTGCAGGTAAAGCTGTTGGGTAAAACCTTGCCTTGCCTTTTTAATTATGAACGTGTGTGTGATTTTTCTTTTTCCCTTTTAAAGGATAATGAAGAGCTGGATGTAGAGTTCTATTTAGAAAAAAGGTGAGTTTGAATCTAAATGCACTGCTTAGTGAAAATAATCATTGCTAATACATTGTTTTATTTATATTTTTCTATAGTACAGCAATAGTCTCCTGTATACAAGAGAGGGTGAAATTCTTTACATTTCTCTGAATTATTTTTGAGCTTATTATCAATGGCTAATTACAAATGTCTTCAAGGCTGCAGCTTCCTCAGCCTTCAGACATCAACACATGAGGGATATCATTCTTTTAGTCTAGCATCACAACAGATTCCAGCAATCTGAATTCCTATCTTGCAGCATGCAATGGGTAGTGAAGCTCAGAATGGTTGAGTCTTAAGATGCATTCACATGTTCAAGTGATTTGGAAAAGTTCTGCTGGGCTTGTTCTCCAGTAGAAAAAAATTACCAGGGGATGTCTGAACAGACATTCAAATGCTGAGTCCCTGAAGAGCAGAGAGCTTTCAGTTCCAGTTTTGTGCAGCCAGGGGCCCCCTGTACACACATCAGCATGCTGTGCAGGCTCCTTCATTTTGCCTGGCAACAGATGGCAATGGTACACATGACAGCCCTGATTGGCTCTTATAGATTGTCCAGAGTAAGCCTGATGGGCTCCCTCAGACTGCTCAGAGTCAGTTTAGCCTAAAGGTAAACAAACAAAGCCCAAGGCATGTATAGATATACAGGGCACCAATATATGTGCTGGATGTCTGCTCTGATGTTTGCTAACATGTTGGAGGAGACTCAATTAATTGAGTTTGCTGGAGTGTGTTAATTAACATGCTCTGGCAGCCTCCATGTCACATGTATTCAGTGTCCCCATGCTTCAGAATGGCAGCAGCATCGCTTAAACTAAAGCCCATTGAATGAATTTTAGTTCAAGTGCCACCGCTATTCTGAAGCACAGGATGCTGAATACATGTGGTGCTGCAGGTGTTTTAAGTAGAGCATCTCTCAGAGCCACTCTAACCTCAGAGCACGCACATAAATGCTGTCAGTGTTGTCTGGGAGAGTTGTTGCTGTTCCAGGAGAAATCACATGTATATGGATGTTCAGGATTTTTCTCCGAGAGCAAAAATGGCTGCTCCAGGAGAAAAATTATCTCAGAACAGCCAGGCTTAAATCACTCCTAAAAGATTTTCTCATGGAAGAGTGAATGTTTGTATAACTTATCTTTCTGAGAGAAGCCACAGCACAAAACTCCAGCATGCCAGGTTGCTTTGCTTCTGCTCTTCTCTTCTCCCCTACTTCCCCACCCCCACTTCAAGACTGTGTTACTCAGGTTGGACTCTACTATTCCAGCCCAGCAGAGAGCAGAACACCCTGTTCCTTCACAATGCCCATGTTGTGCTGGAGGGAGATGCAAGGTGCCTAAGCTGTGTGAGTCAGCCAATCAAGATTACTGTGTACACTGCTGCTATTCTGTCTCTGAGCAGAGTGAAGGAACCTGCACAGCCCACTGAGATGTGTGCACAGGGTCCCCCCTGGCTGTGCAGCATCAACATTGCAAGTTCTGTACTCTTCAAGGGCTCAGCATTCAAATGTCCGTTCTGGTGTCCCTGAGCATTTTCTCTCAGGTTTGTTCTCCTGGTAGAAATTCTCCCAGATTATTTGAATGCATGTATGAAGCCATTCTTGTATATTTGATCCTCCTCTTTCAGAGCCTACCTGCTCTTCTGTCTAGCCTTCAGCTGGTGATGGGAGTGGGAAATGCATGACAGTTATGTAAAGTCAGGGAGCAATTGCTCTTTTAATAGTGAACATTTTCTGTTTTTCTGTGAGCAAAACTAACAGGGTAACCGCTGGGGCCTGTCATTAGGGATGTGTGAAACAGCACCGTTTTGTTTCAACTTGTTTTGAAGGGACGGTGTTTTGTTTTGTCATTTTGAAGCACTGTTCCGTTTTGTTTCATTGAAACTGTTTCAATGCGTTTTGATGTTTTGCCCATAAGCTATAATGGGGAATCATTAAAATGCCTATAACTTTGTCATTTCATGCCTGATTCAGATGAAACTTGCAGGATGGTAGCCCCTTCTGAGGGCACAAAGCCTACCATGTTTCAAGGAGATAGCTGCAAGTGTTTCTGGTAAACTGAATCTCAAACTGCTAAAAGCAAAACTAATGTCACTTGCTGGCAGCAGCAGCCTCCTGTCATCCCACATGCAAATCTGGGGGCCTGTGCCCCTGGTAGGCCTGTGCCAGACTACTCCTGGGGGGTGTGGGCCCTTGGATCTGTGCATGGGATGACAGGAGGCTGCTGCTGACACCTGGGAGCAGTGCTGGGCTCAGCGCCAGGAAGACTGTTGCTGCTGCTGGCCCCAGGCAGCAGCGGCAGCCTCCTGTCATCCCACATGCAGATCTGGGGGCCTGCACTCCTGGGAGGAGTCTTGCAGCACTTGGGGGGCAGGTTGAGGTCTGTGGGGCTGGTGGAGCTGCTCAGAGCACAACCCTGGCTCTCCCCACCTCCCACTGCCAGGCTGCACTCCAAGTGGTTCTGCCAGCCCCATGGAGCTCAGCCCAGTGGTGCGAAAGCCAGTGGCACAGCTGTTCCAGTTGCAGCCCTGGTGAGCACAGGGTGGTGGCTGGAGGCTCTGCATCCCCACGGAGCTGAGCCTGGCGGCAGGAGGCAGGGGAGAGCCATGGGGCAGGGCTGTGCTTGGAGCCAGGGCTGCTCTCTGAGTGGCTCTGCCAGTGGCTCCCCACTGCCTTCTGCTGCCTCCCACCACCAGACTTAGCTCCATGGGGCTGCAGAGCCTCCAGCTGCTGGGCTGAGTGGCTCCACCATTGGCCCTCCTGCCACCAGACTGAGCTCCGTGAAGCTGGCAGAGCTGCTTGGAGCACAGCCGTGGCTCTGAGCACAGCCCTGGCTCTGAGCACAGCCTGGTGGCTGGAGGCTCTGCAGCCCCATGGAGCTGAGCCTGGCAGTAGGAGGTGGCAGAGAGCCAGTGGCAGAGCTGCTCAGAGTGCAACCTGGTGGCAGGAGATGGGGGAGAGCCAGGGCTGCACTTCAAGTGGCTCTGCCAGGCCCATAGAGCTGAGCCCAGTGGTGGGAGGCAGGGGAGAGCCAGGGCTGCCCTCTGAGTGGCTCCACCAGTCCTGTGGAGCTCAGCCCGGTGGTGAGAGGTGGGGGAGAGCCAGGGCTGTGCTCTGAGTGGCTCCACCAGCCTCATGGAGCTCAGGCTGGTGGCGGAAGGTGGCAGGAGAGCCAGTGGTACAGCCGCTCTGAGAGCAGCCCTGGCCAGTGGCTCTCCCCCGTCTCCTGTCACCAGGCTCAGCTCCGTGGGTTTGTGGAGCCTCCAGCCATCAGGCTGTGCTTGCCAGGGCTGCATTCGGAGCCAGGGTTGCAATCCAAGCAGCTTCATCAGCTCCATGGAGCTCACCCTGGCAGCGGAAGAGCCAGTGGTGGAGCCACTCAGAGTGTAGCCTTGGTGAGCACAGCCTGGCGGTGGGAGGCTCTGCAGCCTCACAGAGCTGAGCCTGGCAGCGGAAGGCAGGGAAGAGCCACTGGCCAGGAATGTGCTTGAAGCCAGGGCTGTGCTTGGAGTGGCTCTGCCACTGGCTCTCTCGCCACGGGGCTGAGCTCCATGGGGCTGGCAGAGTCGCTCGGAGTGCAGCCCTAGCTCTCCCCAACTCCCACCACCAGGCTGCTTTGAAACTTGAAACATTTTGAAACATTCAGAACATTCCGAGTGTCCTCATTTCATTTCAAAGCTATTTTGAAGCCTTTTGTTTTGTTTCGATTTTGCTGTTTAGAGCTCTGTATGCATTGAAACAAAACACTCGTTGCAATTTTGCACAGCCCTACCTGTCACTATGCTGACCCATCTCCATGTCTAGGCAGTCTGCCCACCTATGCTAACCTGCCATGCCTTGATGTAAACAATAAGTTATCTATTTTTAGGACAGGAGGCTGCTCATTTTAAAGACTGATGCCAAGGGTGTACTGCATGGCTCTGAACCTTCCCTTATACTGTGTCCCAGGCCTCACAGATGGCATCTAAATTCTATTATCACTCCCCTGGCCCCTTACTGAGCCACTCTGGCCCAGCTAGGCCTCAGGAGTCCTTGGACATGCCTGGGCCTTAAGTCATGCTCCCTTACTGGGGCCTCTACTTCAACTACTCCGGTCAGCTTGTATGCAGACCTTTGGGCTGTCTTAAGACTCTAGTCTACACGGTTGCCAGTTGAGGCTAGTCCAGTCAGCCCACATGAAGCTCTTCAGATCGTCTTAAGGCCCTACTGTACACGGCTGCTAGCTATCACTACTCTGGTCAGCTTATGTTTAGCCCTTCAGACCTTCTTAAGGCCCTATTCTACACGGCTGCTGGGTCCCTACTGCTCTGCCCCCTCACTGGGGCCTCTAGGCCTCAGGCATCTGCTGACCTACCTGGGCCCCCCTAACTCAGCCTATGGCTTTCAGGCCTTTGGGGTCTATTGACTGACCTGGACCCTTCTGGGCATTGCACCCCTTTGGGTCTCAGTCATCTGTCAACCTGTCATCTGTCAGGGCGGCTAGAGTCTGGAACCAGCTTCCAAGTGAGGTGGTGCAGGCTCCCACCCTGGGGGATTTTAAGAGGAGGTTGGACAACCACCTTATTGGGGTCATTTGACCCCAGTGCTCTTCCTGCCATGGCAGGGGGTCGGACTAGATGATCTGCTCAGGTCCCTTCCGACCCAAGAAACTATGAAACTTTCCTGGACCCTGCCTCAGGCCCCACTCAATGGGCTTGGGTCCCTGTGCTTTTCTGTTGGGGTGTGCTTCCCTAGCCTTGCCCCTTCATGGGGTAACCCACAAGGCAGTGGGGGCTGAGACTTTCTGGT